GGGGGGGATGTCTGTCAGCCCTTTCCACCCTCAGAGGCCACAGTGAGAACACCGGGTTGTGAAGCAGAAAGTGGTTCTAACCAAATAATGAATCCGCTTGCTCCTTGACCTTGAACGGCCAACCTCCATTTCAAATCCCCTAATCATTGAATTTCTCTTTCAGCAGACAGATAAGCCATGACAGAACTCTTTCTCAGGGAAAAGGTTAGTTAGGTGGGAAATGACCATATCTCCCTAGCCAAGGACTAACTACCCTAATGGCAACAGTGACAGTTACCACCCCACCTCTGCTGTGTCCATGGCCCTGGAACTCATTAGGTGGCCAGCATCACTTCTCTTCTCCAGAGCACAAGAAGCTGGAACATCTATTTCTCTTGTGAAAACTATCTTAAAGCTTGCTTTTCCCTCTGCTTCTAAGTCTAACTGGATTGCTCATGTCATGAGTGCATTTTAATCAGATAGATAGATAAGAGCATTCACCATAAACATTTTAAAGTAAACACCTTTCGGCTTGCAGAGGAAGGCTTATGCAATTAGCCTTGTATAGGAGCTGCCAAAGGCTCGGGGTAGGCGACAGGAATTTGTAAGATAAACACGCATGGAGCTCCTATAATCAGCATTGCTGCTCAATTATCACCCTTAGAGCATCCACCAGGCATTCTGCTGGGAAAAGCATGCTAAAGGCGGAATCTGACCTGCCTAAGGCTACCATCCTTGAGAGGTTGCTCTTGAGGGATGTCCCTGTTTCTGAGACATGGAAGCAGGGCCATTTGAGTTCAAGTCTAGCCTGGGGTACCATGCTTGGTGAAATTCTGCACAGTCTCTGAACACTGAGGTCCTGACTTCTCCACCCTCCACACCCCAGGACAACTGTCTTCTTGTGTCTACAGTGATGCTGGACAGAGAAAAAAATGCCACAAAGCAGATGGGTGAGGGCAGCAGCCTTGGTGACATTTATATCAATTCTTCAAACCTAAGAAGTCATTTTGTGCATGTGCTTGTGTACGCCTGCACACTCACAGGGGCACATCTGTGTTTCTTTTCAGGTCAGGTTTGAAGGAAGGAGTAATTTTTTTTTTTTTTTTTTTTTTTTTTTTTTTTTTTTTTTTGCCAGTGGAAAGCCTGGAGCTTTGAGATGCTGCTAAGTCCCTGTTATGAAGAAAGAAAAGGCCCTGTCCACACTTATCTTCTACACAGGAATGTGCCTTCGCCCTGGGAACTTGGGAACTCGAGATTAAATCAGGCAGCTCAGAGCAAACACAGTTAGTGTTGAGGGAACAAAGGGGACCTTGCTCTCAATATTGCTCTGGCATTCTGTGTCCCGTTTAACAAGGTTCCAGGAATTTCTACAGCAGAAACATGATTGTAAACAAATGGACATCTCCCATAAACCTTGCCTCCCGGGATTTGAGTGGACACACTGGTCTTCTCTCTTTTTCAACATGCCAATGGCTCAGAGGACTGTTCCCCTGGCTGGCCATGGCCCTGCTGAATGAGATCTATCTACCCCCTGCGATAGCCTGGTAGGACAAATGGTAAACACAAGAGGATGGCCAGTGCAGTGCCACCTGCTTCTTCACAGCCTGACTAGGAGGTAGTTCCTTGCTATGTATCAATTTACCCCTTTTCTGGCAGGCTGTATTCACACCTGCTCAACCCTACTGTCCAGGCCCCAGCATCTGTATACTGAACTGGGGGGCCAGGCCATGCTTTAGTGCCTGGAATGGGGCTTAACCACAAAGGAACTTCCAGGAACCAGCCAGGGCCATGCACCCACCCCACCCTGACCCCAGGAAGACCCAGAGCTGCAAAGTCCCTCTTACCTTGACTCCTCGTGGACCTGGGTAGCCAATGGGACCCTGGGGGCCAGGAGGACCCTAAAAACCAAAGGGAAAGAACATTAGCTATTTTCAGGTGTGAGTGCCTAGGCAACCTCCATGGGATGCTGCAAAGCAGTTTTGTGGGATATACATGAGTCCCTGCCTGTGGTCCACACTGATACTGATGCTGATGGTGGAGGAAGCAAGGTGGTGCCTTTCAAAGAATAAACATGTCTGAGGATAATCAGATGCTGTGTCCAGTTCCAGGAATCCAGGAGGGGTGGGAGAGAGGTAGCCATGCAACATGAAGAAACATAGCCTGGGTCGAGAAAAGACAAAGAAACATGCCCCCATCCTAGGGATCTTGAGGTGATGCAATGTTCAGCTGAGGAGAACAGGGGTATCCTGTTCAGGGCAATGGCATCCTTCAACAGTCAAAAGACCTTCTCAATAACTGACCAGAGCTTACAGTTCAGGCACGAACCTCCACCCTGCCTAGGAGACCTATACAGAGACTGGCTGCTGGGGCAGGGTGCAGTGGGTACCTACCTGGCCTCCTTTCTCTCCTGGAGGACCTTCTTTGCCAGGGTGCCCCTGTCACAAGAGAGAAGGTCTTCATTAGTTAGCCACCTGCTCAGAAAGAGGCCTCATACCTCTACGGCATTTGTGTAAGTCCTCCAGATCTGCCCTCTCCAGGAAAAAAAAATGAAAATTAAAGATGTCTTGACAGGCAGTCCAGCTACTTCTAGTCCCTGGACCTCGGCTGCTTCATCTACAAAATGGGAAGAAGCAATGTGGCCCACGGTTGGCTGATCATGGAAGGGACATGGATGTGAGATGATGAGGGTGTAGCAGGCCACCCAGCCTGATACTAGTCTACCCTCCAGGGCAGATTTCACAGACCACCAAAGGAGATTATGCTGTAACTCAAGGTCACACCAGCTAAATGAACCCTCAAGATCAGACTCCTGAGCCCCCAGGACCAACAAGGGCCACACCAGTTGCCAAATCAAGCAACTGGCTGTTGGGGAAACTGAGGGCAGGTAGGGTAAGAAGAGAGCCATCTTGCCACCTCACTGAGTGTATCAGCACCCCAATTTTCCTCAGCTACACCCCAGTGCATCCCTGGGGCCTGGGAAACTGAGCAAAGGTGAGAGGTGGCCCTGCAGAGTCACCTGTGTCCTCTGGTCACCTCCCACATACCCACCCACATCTGGGCCAATTCCACCCTCCAGAATGCAGCATAGGCCGTCTCACCAGGCTGACCTTGGGGTGAGAGCCCTAGGTTCAAAAGCAGAGAGCCACAGGTAGAGAGGAGAGCAAAAGACTGTGTTCTTATGGACATGCAGTTCCACCACCACATTTTCCAGCAAAGAGACCAGGCAATGGGGGCGGGGGCGAGGCTGGCTTCTATCTCTGGATACATTGAAACTATTGCACATGCTTGGGCAAGTCACTTGCACTCTGTAGCCCATACTTCCTCTTGTGGACAATGAAATGACAGACACATAGTATAGCTTGAGTGGGTTAAAGATCTGGGGCCCCAGACACCAGTTCATCTCCTGGAAACAGTTGGGCATGTTGTTCCATTGCTCCTTGTAGGGAGACACTGTAGCCCCGCCCCCTAGTAGCCCCTACAGGTGTGCCTGGCCACACCCATGAGGGCGTGGTCAAAGATGACGCCAGGATAATTCTTAAGGGACCACACACACGTGGATGCCCCTTCTCTCTGGCCACGCTAGCTTGCAGCCTCTGGGCACGCTCTGGCTTGCGTTTGGGCTGGTGTTTATCTGAATAAAGAAATCTTAGTTTTATGGACTACGGATCATCTTTGATGGCACGCAGCACGCAATACTCAATAGCTCCTCTTAGTTGGATACCTGATTTTGCAAAGAGCTTAGCAAGTAAGTTGGGACAGCAAGTTCTCATGTGGGAGCCCAGCCACCTTTGAGGAAAACTGAGGCACCCACAGGTGGACTGTGCCTGCTGCTCTGGCCCTGGGAACGAGTTGAACCAGCCCCTGTCTTTCAGAAATGACAACTATGCTTAAGGCACCAGAGGCTCTTGGTTGCAAGACATAATCTAAGACAGCAAGGAGAGGATGCCGACCTTAGGGCTGACAAAGGGTAACTGTGGTCTTCATCTTAGTGCCCACCAGCCACAGACGTGGATTTACTCAGAAACTAGGGCAGGTGGGCACTAGGAGAGGTGGATGCCAGGATCTCTGTGACAGATGTAGTGGGTGTCACTAAGGAAGCCAAGTGCCCTCTCTGTGTGTAACTCCTTCAGGGACATGTTGGAGATTGCACTTGCACAGAGGACCTCAGAGACACCCAGGAGAGATTCCCTAGGGGCTCAGCAAGTACCAAGCAGAGTATGACCAACAGGGGCTGGTGGACACCATTGTCATGGCTGACCAGATGCCTTAGATGGGTCTCAGCTGTGTTCTAGAAGGAAAGCCACTGCAGTGGGGAGGCACGGGGCTCATTTTTCTAACCAGGAGGCTGACGAGAATAGAAGAAAATTTAACACTGACAAATCTTCCTGCTGTGCAAGGCGAGGCTGTGTTCTTTCTCTGCCAGTGTACATTTTCCCAATATTTTACAGGGGATGCTACTTTCATAATGGAAAAATAATAAAGCTTAAATTATTTGTATTTGATATTTTTCTGATTAAAAAAGTAATATATGTTCATTGAAGACAATTAGGAGAGCAGAAAAGGAAATTAAACTCCTCCACAGCCCACCATGCAGAGCCACGAGGCTGGTCGGGGGCACAGTCTTCCAATCCATTTTCTCTGTGTGTGTGCATACAAAGTGGGCAGGTATAATATGATCTGAATTTAATACTGGATCATGAGCACTTTCTCTAAACCTTAGATATTCATTCACATTTTATTTTTACTGGCTCCATTTACCCGTCATTTTGCTGTGTGCTGTGAAGAATTAATCACATTTCAGGGCACTGGATATGACTTGAAAGCCTCCCCCCTCTCTTTCTCCTTCCCTCTCTCCCTCACTCACTCCCTCCATGCATGTGCATGTTTATGGCTGTGTATATACATGTGTGTGACTGCATGTAGAGGCCAGAAGTTGATATCAGTGTTTTCATCAATTGCTCCCCACTCTAACCTTTAAAATGGGGGTCTCTCATTGGAACCTAGAACTCTCTGATTTGCTAGACTGGCTGTCTGGGAAGGCCCAGGAACCTTCCTGTCTCCTGTTTCCCAGCCCTGGAATTACAGGCATCACTGCCTTGCAAAGCCTTTATGCATTCTGGGATAAACACTACTAATGGGACCATCTCCCTGGCCTGTCAATCACTCTTTCTTCACAACCAAACTAAACAAATAGTAGAGGAAAACAGCCTCAGTCTGGTGGCCTCTTCAAAGTTTATCAACAGAGAGCTACTTGCATTAGGAGAGTCATCCATCTTCCCTCCCTTCCAAACACATGGACAACTGGATCTGGTTAGGGTCCTAATGTCTTCTTGGTCCACCTGCCATCTTTGGGCCCTTCCCAGGGAGGAAGCAGGCCTCCCCCACAGCACACATTAAAGGTTTGAGTTGCAATTGACAGGATGTAGAACCCCTAGGAGACAAACCTCGCAGCAGGTCTGTGAGGGAGTTTCTAGATTAGGTTAACTGAGGTAAGACTCCCCCTAACTATGGGCAGCCCCATCCCATGGGCTGGGGTTCTAGACTGACCACCCACATCCATCTCTCTCTGCTTCTTGAGGAGAGACGCAATGTGACCAGCTGCTTGGAGCTCCTGCAGCTGTGACTTCCCCGCCAACGATGGACTGTGCCTCCCTCAAGCTGTGAGCCCCTCCTTCCTTAAGCTGTTATGGTCAAGTATTTTGTCTTGTTATTGTTAACAAGAAAAGTAATTCATACAGCCAGGAACAGAAACAACGAGTCTACAGGCCAGGGGCTCTTGGTTCCTCACCCACAAAATATAAAAGGAGGCCATGCTCAGGGACCAGGCTCTCAAGAGGTTTCAGTGTAGGAAGAGGAATTCCAGGCCAGAAGCAGCCAGGTATACTGAGGCCAGAGACATGTCTGGTTGTGGAAAAGATACAGCCACTCACACGCAAACCAACTCCTCCCTGCAGGAGATGTTTGGCACACTGCATTAGACCTCTATCCGTGGCTATCACCTACCACAAGAAACTGACACTAGGGAACCACAGTCCAGCGACCTGTGCTGGCCAGTGGGGGTGAGATGGAGCCACTCTATTTGCCACTTCCCCTCACCTCATTGTCTACTAAAAAATGTGCCATTTGCATCATTATTTTTTTGCAACACAAAATAAATGACAATTAAAGGACAGAAGTGACACACTTTGCAAGATACCAGCCACTTTGCTCCTAAACTCCCCACCTTGTCCACATGGAGATGGGAGTGACTACGTTTGTTTGCTCAGACCAACCAAAGGTAATCTGAGGTCTGAGATGCCCTGGCTCATGTGACTCTTGGCGTGGAGTGCAGTAGACAACTCATGGTGAAACCATTCCCTTACCATTAGCACACTCAGCATCCTCATCCAGTTCTTTTTCTCTTTTTCTACTTTTGCATGTGAGTGTGTGGTGTACATGTGTGTACATATGTCTATTTATGTGTGTAGGTAAACACAGGTATGTGTGTGAGCACATGGAGGGTTAAGGTTGCTGTCAGGAGTCCTCCTTGATCACTGTTCCACCTCAGTCGCTGAGGCAAGGTTATCTCAGACCCAGAGCTTGCTGATAGAACAAGTCTTGCCAGGCAGACTGTGGTGAACCCCTGCCTCTGCTTTCCAATGCTGGAATTATAGGTGGACACCATGAGCAACCAGCATTTGCATGGGTTTTATGGGTCTGGACACTGGGCCTCACATTTGTGCTGCAATCACTTTTATCACTGAGGCATTTCCCTAGTCCCCCTACCCTTGCATTTAGTTTTTAATGATGTTATTAAAACAATAAACGAAACTGTCATAAATAATTAATGTATCTCATCTTGCTTTCTGAGATATACCCTTTCGGTTTCACTAAACACTAAAGAGCACATGGAGCCGGGAGGGAATATTGGGAGGGGGAAGAGAGAAATTGGAGGGGTGGATTTAATAATTTACTTTTAAAAATATTTAAATTAAATTTAAAATTAAAAATCCCTCAAGCCAGCAACGTCTTCAGGCAGAATGGCAGCTGTGGGTAGACACACACACACACACACACACACACCCCTAACTGCTTCCTCTTCCTTGCTCCCCGCTTTCTGCACAGCTTGCCCCCCAAGATTGGACCTGTCGCTCACTTGCTATTTCCAGGCCCTGTCTAATCTGGCTCCCCAGCTGTGCTCACAGATTGGACCTGAGGATCACTTGCTATTTCCAGGCCCTGTCTAATCTGGCTCCCCAGCTGTGCTCACTGCAGACATATCCCCCTGCCAGCAGCTTTCCCCCAAACTCAGTGTGTGAACACTAAAAATACCCCTGGCAGACCCTGCCCCTCACTTCCCACACCGGTGACACGTGTGATGGCTTGGAGCCCAGCCCAGTACTGTGAAGTTTCAAACACGAAGCTGAGTTCGGGGAACTAATTTGCACGCCCTAACAAGTAAGTAAGGCTCCCACTGTGCAGTTGCATCCCCTCTGTGGCAGGAACACAGTATGAAAGCTTGTCCGGGATCTAGTAATCACTCAGTATGGAGCACCAGAGCACGAGCTTCGCCCACAAGGTTTAGGGCAACCAATGCTCCCAGTTCCCCTCTGCGAGGAGAGGGGCTTCCTGGAGAGAGAGGGAGGGGCACTACTCACCGGGGGTCCATCAGCACCGGGCATTCCTGGGAGACCTGGTTTCCCCAAAGGACCCTAATACAAACCAGAGAGCACGTGAGAGAGGGAACACCTCTGATGTTTACTCCTTCCCTGGGATGCCCAGGCCTCCAAAACAACTCAGATATTGTCACTCAGGATGCCTGCTGTGGTCCTTGCTCTCAGCATCCAGTTCTCCCTGCACCCAAAGAGGTGCCCCCTTTGCCAGAATCTTCAGTTCTGCTATGGGAGCACCTCCCCATCTTCCTTCTCCCTTGCATCTCCTGAGCAGATGCTGGTGTCCTGGGAGCCTTCTGAAGCTGCTCAGGACCCCACCCCCCAGTGACATCCATTGTATCCCTCCTACAGCAGGGTAGAGCAGGGCAGCCACAGGGCCATCATGCCACTATCCCACTGTCTTTGACATTCTAACAAGGTCCAGGTCTAACACAGCCTAGTTGTCTGCATTTCAACAAGTGCCCCAGGATCTAGATGCCCTCAGAACCACTCTGAAGTGCTTCTTGCTGGTCAAGATCTAGATATTTTACATTTTCCCAAATCACCCATGCCTGGGTTCTATGATGCCATTGGAAACTCAAGTATCCCAGGACATGGTAAGTGCTAGAGTCTATGTGCCAAATAGAGTTTTACTAAAACTCAACTAAATAAGATTTCCAATTCAATCTAAATTTCCAATAAATGGCTCATAGTTCATACTCAGCAGTGTGCTGATTTTGGGGGTCCCCATGCCTTGCTAAAACTGGCACCTCCCCACATAGATGGAGACTAAATGGAGATATGAATCAATGAACAAGAAGATTTAAGAGCCTCCCTGAAGCTGACATGCTTGGCTCCCAGAGGGCTGAACTTCGGGGCCTTCTGGAGAGCAAGGTGTACATGCCTGCTAGTGAAAGCCAGCAGATCCCTCAGGCCGGAAATATAGCCCATGAGCAAGGAAGCCCCTCTGCACACACCCAGCTGTTCCACCTACCTTTTCTCCTGGAGGACCAATGGCACCCTGGGGACCTGGAAGACCCTAAGGGAAGAAGAAATAGGAGATAAGGAGACTGACCTCACCCTCCACTGATCATCCCCTCATCCAGGCACTAGCCATGTTGATGGCAAAACTGAAGTCTGTACTTCCCAGACACTTGACCAGAATCTGTACCCCATCCCTGGCTCCAAGCCACCTTTCCAGGACACTTACCTGAGCACCGGGATTACCCTGCTGTCCGGGGGGCCCAGGCTCTCCCTGGGGACCCTATAGGAAAACAGAGGCAAAGGTCCTGAGAAGAGGGTCTAGGAGCCACAACCCATTTGGAGGAACCCCATTTTCACTTCTCATCTTTTCCTCCTGCTCTGAACTGTCCAACAGTAGCCCCTGGGAGTCAATGTGTGAAAACAGCTTTCAGGAAAGGGGGGACCCGCCATTGAAAGTAAGCAGATCCTTGCACCCATAGGATTAATGACTTGACTCTGAAAGGGGGATGCAGACTTGCATGTATACCCTAATGTCCTTCCAAGAAGACAGTGTGACAGGAGCTGAGCAGGAAATACTCTATTAGTAGAAAAGTATGGCCTTGAAATAGATACAGAGTTAATAGACCCACTGCCTGTTGGAACTGACTCCTAGCTGTGCCCACTTTGGATAACAAATACCAACTTGGGATTCCGACACCAGAGGCTTCTGCCACCAGAAGAGGGCAGCACCAGGCCGTGGGCCAGAGGCTAAGGTGCCCACTCTCCTGCCCCAATTAACAGCTGATAACAGACCTCCTCAGCCAGGCATGGACTATACCCACAGACCATCACCAAAAGCCAGGTCATGTGACCCCTGGGACTCACCACATTTCCTTTCGGGCCAGGCTGGCCGTCCATTCCAGTTACACCCTGCAGGAGAGTGATAAAGAGATGTTTTCAACACAGAATGAGCAACCACACTCACTCCACATGCTCAGACATGAGCCTGAGGTGATTGCAGGTGGTACATTCTCTGAGGAAATGGCAGACTTGACCCTCCACCCCTCACAGCTAGGGCTACTGACCTTTCACCATAGGCTAGCTGAGCCATTGGGTCCCAGCATCCTCATATGAGCAGACCCTGAGCTCTAGAAAAATATCTCAGAGGGACTGGAGAGGGTAGGGCCAGTCTGACCCACTGAAACAGAGTCCCCATCAGAACCTTGAGCTTCTGCCTCCTTCCAGAACTGAAGCAGAGAAACAATGTGGCACCCTGAGGCACTGCTTATGACAGAAACCCCCATCAGAACCTTGAGCTTCTGCCTCCTTCCAGAACTCCCAACAAAGGGAAGGTTTCTGAAGCAGAGAAACAATGTGGCACCCTGAGGCACTGCTTATGACAGAAAAGAAAATCCAGCAGGTGTGCGCCACAAAGGAGGTGGAAAGTCTAGAAGAGCTCAAGGCCAGCTACCTCAACCCTACCCATTTTCTGGTTCTTCATGTATGGGTATGAAGGACCCACAGCCCCTCATACCTACAGCCTCACACCATGGTCAGCATGGCCTCATGCCCTGTGCCACTAGCTAGGTTAGAGGGTTTCTGCAGCTACAATGTGGACACATATGGCAAGAGGTGACAGAACTTACTGGAGGTCCTGGAGGGCCAGGAGGCCCTTTTGGCCCAAGAAGACCACGTGGTCCCTGCAAGAAGAAAGGACAAGGAAAAGTGAAATCCAGCTGCCCTTCTTGATTGCCCTGCACAGCACATGTCCAGTACAATGCACCCCACTGGAGCTCAGCCGCTGAATCCAGAAGCCTGAGAGAGATGCCACCATGCCCCACTTAGCCCACCCTCCTCTCTACCTGGACACTGGGAATCAGAAGCGGGGGGGGGGGGGTTCCTGAAATAGAGAAGCTCAGCTGGGCATCAGGAATGTCCTTGGGAAAGGGGCCTTTCTCGCCTGCCCCTGACAGAGAGGTGAGCACAAAATCCCACCACAGAAAACTCATGAAATCACATTCATCTGCTGGATCTAGTGTTTATCAATGAGTCTTCGGTCTCTCTCCCCACCGCATGCAATGCTGACAGAGCTCAAGGCATCAGGGAACAGGGTCAGAAGACAAAAGGCCCGCAAGGAACTTCGGGGCCTTGTTGGGGACAGCAGCTACATGGGAGAGCCACAAGCTATCCTCCTCTCCCCTGGGCACTGAGGGGTTGTGCACAATGCCTGCAGCCTACACAGAGGGCCTGGTTTGAGGCACCACTGAAGTCTGGGGCAGATATGGGGCTGAAGGGGAACTGCCCACCCTGGGAATTACAGGCTTCAGCCAAGGCACTTGGATCTCAAGTGTCCTTGATTCTGACAGAATCTTTTTAGATGGGATAAAAAAATGCAACAACCTTTCCTCACAATCTGTGTCCTAACCGCTTCCTTCATTATTTTAACACTTAGTCTTATAAATGTTTTGGAGACACTAATAACCCAGAAGGCACCGCTTAGATGTGTATTAAGGAGAGCGGCGCTGATGGATCCTCCTCAGTGGCTAATCAGACATCTAGGGTATAATTTCATCCCAAATGAACCTGAACATGCCGACCCCGCGCTCTGCCCTGTGCGGCATTTATGGCATAGCTCATCAATTAGCTTCACCAGATGCAAACAGCCACCTGACTTGGATAACGAAGGTAGGCTTCTGAGCATCAGTAAATGAAAGGTAATTAATGTCCCTTTACCCTCTTGGAAATCTGCTTTAAGCCTAAATACAAGTTGTATGGCTGAAGAGAGCTTTCCCTGCAGTGGGCCAGCAACCACCCTGGAGGGTGCAGTTGCCAGGCCTGGGGCAAGTTTGGGTCTATTCACTCCCCTTGACTGTCCCAACACCCATTATGGCTGCTCCCAGGATGCCTGCCATGGCACCCTGGACACCTACAACAATGTACTCAATGCCCATCATGTTACTTAGGTGTCTGCTATGATTCTTGCAGAACGCCCCATAGTGTGTCTTCCTGTCTACTCTGACACACTTGGGTATCCACCATAGAACCTCTGAATGTCCTCCATGCTGCACTTGGATGCCTAGCATAATTCCCTGGAAACTATGATGCCCCTGGATATTTTCTGCAGCTCTCCAAGGCCAAGCTTCCTCCTGTAGAAAGGGTCAGTATACATTCCCTCAAGTTGTCCAGCCCCTAGGGTCCTCCCTCTTTGCTTTCTTGGGCAACCTCCTTCCCCAGACCAAGCTCTCCAATCTACTCCACACCCATCAAATCCTGAATGTGGAGCTGAGGCCCAGAATCCCCCCATCAGCTACTTACAGGCTCCCCGGGCAGCCCCCTAGGCCCAACTTCTCCATCGTCACCCTATGGAGGAGAGAGAAGATGTTTAGTGACAAGCTTTGAGGCCTGGATACCCAGAGGCCATCTCCCAGGAGCACACAGCAGGATCTGCCTACTCTGCTCAGGTATATGCTAATTTGCTAATGCTGTTCCCATAGGAGAGGCCCCTTCCTCACTCTGGAGCTGCAAGGGTGTGAGGCTTGGAAATAGGCCCTGCTTGCCAGCTACATTCACAGCTGTGGCAAAGGCAGAGAACACTTAGAGAGTTCAAGGCCTTCGCCACCCTTGTTAGTAACAGAAGCTGAGGACAAGGGCATCAGAGGAGGGACAGAGGAACTCTGAACAGACCACTCTGAGCTTAGGTCTCCCAGGGTCCAAAGAAGCCAGTGGCAAACTCAGAAGAGCTTTTTCCTCCTGACTCCAAATAAGAAGGTTGCCCTGGCTCCACGGGGTCACACCCAGGGCTGCTAGCCAGGACACATCTCCCTCTCCCTGTCACACAACTCAGCTCTCCTGCCTTACACACACACACACACACACACACACACACACACACACACGAAGAAAGACATGCATGCTCACACGCAGCCTGCCTGCACACATGCTCATGTGTGCCTACATTCAATGCATCTACTCATAGACATGTAATTGTGCTGGCACACACATAACATACATACATATATTCACACACCTAGGAGTACACTTTTGCGCACACAGCAGAGAACATGTATGCATACCCTTTGTGTGCACATACGTACACAAAGGCATACAAAACATAGTGCACATGTACACACAATACATAGATAGTTGAGCATATGAATGCATGCATATGAACCCACACACACATTTCCTAAATCAAGGGGGTGGGGCATCCAAAAGTACCCCTCTCCTTCCTCAGCTTACAGCTGATTAGGCCAAGGCCCAGATAGGGGAAATTCCTGGCAAAGTGACACTGGAGAAGGCAGTACTTCTCTCTCACTTCCCTGGGGTTCTTGAGCCTCCCAGCAATATTGCAAGGAGCCCATAAAACCCTATCGCTCATTCTCTGCTGTGCACATCTGTGCTGTGGCCCGAGTATGAGCTTAGTCTCCAGCCCCTCAAAGGTACCTGGGACGGACACTGAGGAGTCCTCTGGGTACAGAGCCCAGACTAAGAAGCCAGCACCAGCTCTTCCCTCCCCCCTCTATTCCTATATCGGTTGCTTCGCCCTTCCCTACCTCTGGGGCCAGAGATAATGACTTCCCTTGTCCTTCCACCCCCTGCTCTCCTCAAGCCCTTGCTTCTCTATCTGACACCTCATTTAGATGAGATCAGCAGAGCTGCTGAGCTCATTAAGTCTCTGGCCTCTCCACTCCACAGGATCCAGGACACCTGCCTCCTATAGTTAGAAACTCGGCTTCTGAGACCCATGACAGTTTGACCCTCATAGGTAAGAAGGATAAGGTGAAATGAATGCTTGGGCCTTGCTCCACACAGCCACCTCCCTGTGCCAACATGCACCCTCCCCAGCACCTCCCCAGTCTTTCCCCAGCACCCTCACCAACCCTTATGGGCCCACACTTACAGTTATCCAGTATAAATTTAGAGAACAGGATGCTGAGATACATACCCTTTCTCCATCATCTCCTGGAAGTCCGGGTGGGCCAGAAGGACCAGGGTCACCCTAGTAAGTCAACCGGGGTCAATGTTAACCACTGCAGAGCAGGTTGTCCACAGCTGTGCCAAGCCGCTTTCTCTGTCCTCTTAGGTCTAACTCTGAATACCCTCAGCCTTGCAGGCTAGTTCCCCTGGGAGGAGGACATATGCTGAGTGGCTGGCCACATAGTCTAGTGGCTGGCCACAGAACCTTGCACCTAAGTCCCATCTGGATAGCTTGATGGCGGCAGAATCACCAGACTGAGCACCTAGCAGGTTTTGTGGGGGACACAAACATACAGGCACGTGGTGCACTCAGTGTGAGGGAGGGGTACCACAGAAAGGTACCACCCTCGACCAAGAATCCCTGAGAGTCAGGCCTGATTTACCTCATGAAAACCTGCAGTTCCAAGCCTTGCCTGTAGCAGGCACTCAATGTGTGCTCTTATCAGTAGGTCAAAAGGACTGCACACCCACCTCCTACCCCCAAACAAAGACCACCACTGGTGGCTGCGAGTTTGCCCATATATGTGCATGATTATATTGTTGCATCCCTGTGTATGAACATGCATGTATACCCGTGTCTGCCTGTACGTATGTGTGTGACTGGGCGAGTATGAATGTCTGTACCCATGTGTGTCAGCTTATATACATGTGTGCTCCTATGTATATATATGTATATGCACATGGGTGTCTATATGCCTGTGTCTGTATGTGCCTGTATGTGTATGTGCTTGTGAATGTATGCATATATATTTGGGTCCTATGTGGTTATGCTTACATACACGTCTCCAAGTTTGTATGTGTGTATTCATGTGTGTGCCTGTGAATATGTGTATAAATGCATGCATGTGTGTGGCTAAGAATATGTGTATATGCATATGTGCTGGATGGATGTGTTCCTTTGCATTTGTGTGTATGCCTATGAAGGTATCTGTGTACATGTGTGTAATATATACACAGGTGCCTGGATGTCCTAAACAATGCTACATTTACCAGCAAACCCACTTGAAGGTAAAGCAGATCAGAGAGGCTCCGCTCCTAGAGAGGGCTGAGAAAGGCAGGAAGGCACCATAGTGGCCAACACCTGCCCTCCTTTGCAGCAGGCTCTTGAGATTGCCCCACCCTCCCGGGGTCACAGCCTTATGTCCTGACTCTGCAGCGTGCATGTGATAGCTCCTTGATTTCCCATGCATGGGAAGCCTCCCTTAGGCAGAAAGTGGGCTCTATAAGCTTCTAAAACTAGTTCTAATACACACATTCCCTCACTCCCCTGTCCCTCATAACACCCTGGGGTGAGGTGCCTGCCAAGCCTGCTCATAAGTTTCAGTGGGAAATCCAACTTCTCTGGGTTAGATCTTCATCAACAAAGACTTCATTCTGGGGGTCAAAGTTTCAGTGGGAAATCCAACAACTTCTCTGGGTTAGATCTTCATCAACAAAGACTTCATTCTGGGGGTCAAGTCTATGAGCAGCCACAGTGCCTAACATGGGCATGCTGTGAAATGGGGGAACCCGGCCCCATTTAAGGAACCTGAGACTGTTGGAAGGAAAGAAGCCTCCCCGAATTCCACAGCAAATACTTACCCTGTGGCCCTTCTCTCCTGGCAATCCAGCTAGGCCATCAAAGCCAGAGCCTCCCCGAATCCCGCAGCAAATATTTACCCTGTGGCCCTTCTCTCCTGGCAATCCAGCTAGGCCATCAAAGCCACGGTCACCCTGCAAGGACAAGAGAGCTGCATCAAACACCCATACACATCAGGACCTAGTTGTAGCACCCTTAACTCAGCACGCTGTACCCAGGACCCTCTCATGGCCCCTGCACAGTCCTCCTGTCTCAGGCCACTATGGAGTCTGCATGTACCACCTCCTCTCTCCCAGCAAGGCAGAGGTTGGGAAGGGAGGAGCACTGTTGTGCCCATGCCAAAGGCCAGGGCACCATTGGGAAAGTAGGCATGCAGTTTATCCGTGGCCACTGCCAAATCAGCATGTGTTCCTTTGCTGAGTCCCATCTGTCTTGATGGCTGCAGCCTTGTGACCTGAGGGCTGCCACACACCAATGCTCACACTCACTGGTGAAGGCTGCAGCATCTTCACTTGCAGGAACCCTGGCTCTTGCCTCCCAGCCTCATGGAGACCAGTATCAGCATCCCATATTGTGGGTGAGTAAAGCAGGTAGGATGAAATCAAGAGGACGGTATTTGAGACTTTTCGTGACTTTGTAGTTAAAAGATTCTTGTCCTCCTGTCATCCCCAGCCTTCAGTGTTCATTAACTCAGGGTTCACAGGAAGCATTCAGGACTTTGGAACCAGGGGACCCAACCCAGATGTACTGAACAGTGACAGTTCCTGGTGACCCAGGCATGGAAGAGAGAGTCCATGCAGGGTCATGGGAAGAGGAATGAACCCAGGATCCACAGAATGGGGGGGGGGGAAGGTGTGTGTGCACACGCAGGGGGGGGGGGGGACAGCTGTCACATGTCTACACAAGTCCTGTGTGTGCACAGGAGCCTCTTCTCACAACAGATGTGTCTACTCACCCTGACAAGGCCCAGGTCCTGACTTCCCAAGGCAGTGCAGGAAGACTTATATCCCATAGACTTGGGACGATCTGGCCAGTCATACCCCCAAGAGTGTGGCCTGCTTACCTGCACACTTCCAAGGGGTTCTCACGACTGGAGCCACCCCACCTCACTCAGTGCAGATATAGAGAGGACATCTGCCCCTTTAAGGAAACTGATTCTTGCCTATGCAATTCACCTGTCAACCTGTCTTCACAACACACACCAGAGGGACTCATTCAAGTGAGTCAGCACTCCCTATAGTCACACTCATCAAACAGGATGGTTATGTCATCAACATGATGTCAGGGATGATGTGGTCCCCTGACATGAGAGGTGTGGGCAACAGCCTACCTTGGGGCCTGTTTGTCCAGGCATGCCTCTTGCTCCATCACTCCCAGCACGGCCCTAGGACAGAGGAGACAAGCAGTCCATATGGAAGAAAGGGCAGCCCACAACATCTTCGGGAGCAGCTGCCCAGTAGGCCAAGTTGAGGGAGGAGATCATGGAAAGTACTCCAGTCAAGGGGGATTGTCCAGTGTCATCAGACTGGACTGGGGACCCAGATCCAACAGCCCAAGGCCATGCCACACCGTTGGCCAAAAAGTAAGAATATGGTGTTTGTCTCACTAGGACTTTCCCAGAAGCCTGATATCGCCTGTCCTTCTGGTCTTGGGGAGGATGATGGGATTTGAATGGCCCAGTGCAGGGAGCTTGCTTTTGTGGCTCCTGTGACACGTTAATGACAATCATAGGAAGCTTGGCTCTTTGCTACCACTGGGAAGAAAATTAAAGACCAAATATTTGTGGAAATGATAAAGGCCTCTCTTGGTCCATCTGTATGAGAGGTCCAGGGGATGTGTGTCCCACTCAGACAACACAGTGACCTAGAGGCAGGATCTGCACTGTGACTAGTCACTCATCTTGTCCATTCTCACACTTGCTTCTAAGACATGGAAAATATTCTAGAGCAAACCCAGGGTGCCCAGTTGATTGTCATGGGACCGAAGGCCAAGTGGGGACCTTTGGATTGCGCTATAAAAGCTACAGTCACCACAGGAGAGACACGAGGGAACAGGGACTCCCTGCCAAGCCCCTGCTCCCTTGTGAGGCACACCAGTCTTTCCTTTCCCATCTTCTGTAGATGACTGGTCATGGGTTGGGGGTGTTGCCTGTGGGCTCATGGTCAGGCATGGAGGCCATGTGGACAATGGTAGTTTTGGGGTCCATATGTAACCATGAGAACGTCTGTTGTGGGAACAGGATGGGTTAATTAAGGCTTTTCTAGCCTTCCTAGAGTGTGGTCATCACTTTTTAATAGTGTGGTATCTTGTAGCAGCTGTGTTCCTGGAGAAACCAGCTGGACCCATCCAAGAGGACACCATTCTCAACAGGAAATCCCAGGAGGCTAGAGGGCTGAAGGAAGGCCTGAGAGGGAGCCGAAATAGCCATTTATAGAGAGAAGGCATGAGGTGTCCCCAAAGACAAGGCCCACTGTCAACCATCAACAGTGTGGATCCAACTCCTGCTGTGACCTGTCTGGGAGATGACTTTAGGGACAGGTGAACCATCTCACGTGGACACAGCATTTGTTCCTAAGCAGCTGCTCAGACACAATCTTAGAGGTGGACATGGGACAATGAGGCACTGAAGGGGACAGTCTTCCTCAGGTCTGGGCACAGAGGCTGTTCCCATACCACATGCTCATAGCACCTAGAACTTACCCGTCTTCCAGGCTTCCCTGTTGGGCCAGGTGGACCTTGAACACCTCGTGGACCCTGCCAGAAATCAGAGGACAAAGCATTAGGGTATGTCCTCTTCTAAGGAAAGATAACATTCATCCCCAATGCCTGTCAACCTATCTCATAGCTTGCTGTGCCAGTTGGCCACATGTGGCTATTTTGGGGACAGGACACAGAAGGCTGGTGACAGATAGTACAGAGAGCTTGTTCGATGGTACCAAAGGACAATTCTTCCTGATTTTGTTGAAGAATTGGGTCACCACTAGCAACCAGGAATCGCCCTCCTGAAAGCAAAGCAGAGATAGTTTTACACGTACCTGGGGTCCCATGTCTCCTGGCTCACCCTTCAAGCCTCCACTCCCAGGAGGACCCTAAGGAGACAGTACAGGATTAGTGTGTGCTCAGACAAGTGCCACAGGGCACAGTAAAGCTGCACAGGTGTGTGTGGAGCAGACAATGAGCCCCTCACCACAAGGCTGACCTGCGCACTGTGACAAAGGGAAAAGCATGTCTTCTGGGAGACATGGGGACCTGTAACTGCCAGGGTCTCTTCCTGGTTCTTCGTGGAGCCCCAGGAGATGAAGCTCACATAGTACATGAAGTCCTGAGAGGACAAGTTGGCCTGTGGTTTATGACAGTCCCCAGCTTGAAGCACACCACATAGCCTATGGTCCAGCTCAAGATAAGACCTCCTTGGAGACTGGCTTCACCTTCTAGGTGCAGGGGACTGAGTTCAGACCCGCGGGTGGGAGGCAGCATATAGCAGTCAGCCAGGGGCCCAATGGTATAAGAATTCTGTGTTCTTGGTATTGGGCATTTAGCTCCATGGTAGAGCGCTTGCCTAGCAAGTGCAAGGCTCTGGGTTTTGTCCTCGGCTCTGGAGGGCAGAGAAGTGGCTGTGTCCTTGTAAGGTCCCACTCCCAGTCCCCAGAGCATGTATTTGACACTGGATGACATCTGAATGTCCCTGGATACATGACATCCATGCTATAATGTGAGGCCCCAGAATAGAACCAAACTGAACCACCAGACCAAGCAGGTAAAGACTGCAAACCGTGTGGTTTGCCCTATTCTGGGGTTACCTCTGTCCCTGGGACAGAACTGTAAGGAAGAAGACCCCAGAAAGATAGAAAAGCTGATTCCTCATGAGCTAAAGGTGCAGCCAGCATCATTGTATAGGCTCAGCCTCTGAGGACATCTCCCGGCCCTAGCACAGCATCCACGCCCCCCTCGCCCCCCACATACATTCACCTTCTGTGTACCATGTGATAGAGGAAAGTGAGAGTAGCCTAGAGTGTGCTTTACAGGAAGAGCTTGGAGCTCAAATGCAGAGGTGGGGAGGAAGCACTCCCATCCTCCCATCATGCTTAAACTGAGGGTCATTTCCCAGGAATCCCCCAAGGTCAGGGGGATGACCTTGAACATAGCCATCCCCCTGACATGTGCTCCCACAATGGGATGGAGCAGCTCCCAGAAGCCACCTGTCTGAGCTGGCTCCCAACTGGGAACAAAGGTGCTGGGCAGAGGGCCATCCAATGTTCTCCACCAACTGGCCCCAGACTTGCCAATCACTCACCATGGGGCCAGGTCTTCCGGTAAGACCCATTGGACCAGCTGGTCCCCTCAGTGCCAACTGCAAAGGAAAGGGGAGGCGATCAGAAAAAGGCTATGGGTGGAGCTGTCCTGGTTTTCTGGCTCCTGATCTGTGACACGCTGCCAGGAGGAAAAGGGACCCAGGATAGGAAAGACTGGAGGCTCACAGGGGTCTCACCCACTTAATTCTGCACTCTCAGCATCTCCACAGGGAAGCAGGGCACAGAGGTAGAAGTCAGTACTTCCTGTTGTCCCATTGTGGGCAGGCTTCCCAATGACTTCCTCTCTCTAGCCCTGCTAGAGAGTCCCTGCTTGAGGACTCCCCTTGTACCAAATCTGAACTGTAGTCTCCCTCCCTGGGCTGGGCTGAGGTGTATATTTTCCCTGTGGATTTGGGCTGTTTCATTTCCTGAGAGGCACTTAGGTACTCTCCAGCAATGAAGGAGGTGTGTGTGATGTTCAGGAGAGCCTGTGGACCCTGGGCTCTTGCTCATACACTAACCCCCAACTTGGTGTGGCTCCTGCCAGCCGCCACACAGGCTCAACTTCTCTTCTTGAACTGCTCTGCTGCAGATTACAACCTCCACCACAATGCCATCTTAAGTTAGGAAATTTGTTTTGCATCTTAAAACTATCTGGGGGCTAGAGGGATGGTAAACTGCTTGCCATGCAAACATGGGGTTCTGAGTTAGGATTCCCAGAACATGTGTAGAAGGCCAGATGTGCCAGCACCTGTCTCTATTCCCAGTTCTGAAAGGCAAAAACAGCTGGATTCCTGGAGCTCCTGGCCAGCCAACTTAGTGAGCTCCAGGTTCAGTGAGAGAACTTGTCTCAAAATATAGAGACATACACAGGAATATACCTGACATTCACCTCAGGCCTCCACACACGGACACACATGTGCAAATATACCCATACAGACAATAATAAAATATACAGTATTAAATGTTTTTAAATTTACAAAGAAAATATACAATATTAAAAATATTCCAAAAAAGGTCAGGGCTGGAGAGATGGCTCAGGGGTTAAGAGCATTTCTTCCAGAGGACCCAAGTTCAATTTCCATCACCCACATGGTGGCTTACAACCATCTGTAACTACAGTTCCAAAGGATCTGGTCTCTGCCCTCTCCTGGTCTCTGTGGGCACCAGGCACACACAAGCAGGCAAAACACTCACAGAAAATAAAAATACATCAATCTTAAAAAAAAAAATCACACAAGCCCTCTCTCAGTGACTTTGATAAAATACACACAGATGAAGAGGCCAACCTGGCAGACACATGTCAACAAACCTAATCTCAGAGAGAGTCTCATCTGATTTGGATTTATCACTGGATAGCCTATTCCATGACAACTACACAATACTGAAACAGTCCTTCAGGTACCCCAGGGCACTCTGGCCACTTATGTCTCTTCTGCACTGCACAGAGTGGTGTCAATATTTCCCAGACAAGGGGTTCTATGTTGGCTTTATCCACACTTCACCAGAGGATCACCCACCTACCCACCCCACCGGGTAGTCACTGGCAATCAGCAATCTGAAGCCACATTCTCTAGTGATGTCATCTACTGATGTGCTCACTCAGGAAGGAGGGGACCCTGGACCCAGACCTAGTGATCCTGGGCTCAGTGCGATAGACCCTGGACCCAGTGCAAGAGCCTTGGGGGGTCCATGAAAGTTTCTGGGCCTACATAAGTGATCCTGGGTCCACAAGCTCTTCCTAGGTTGTGTCTTTGCCCTCACAACCCCAGCCCTGGGAGACTGAGTCAACCACCTGGCACCCCTACCTGGAGCCCTAAGAGTTCCTTTCCCCACAGCTAGGCCCAAGTGCAAGGCATAGCATGGAGATGAGTATCTGCATATAGCAGAAGAGGGGTTCACTGGGTCAGACAAGATGCACAGGTCCAGGGGTCTCTCACCCCTCGCTGTGGACAGGGCACCCCTGAAAACTCTCCTTAAGCTCCCTACATTCTCCAGCATTACATGGAGGACCCAACCCTCCCTATGCTCCTGCCCAGGCAAACTGTAAGACAATTATTCAGTCTCTACAGCGACCAGGGCCAGGCCCTGTCACACACATTACTCACCCTGGCTTGCTGGAGGATAGCCTGGGCCTGAGACTCCTGGGCAGAGACCATGGGGCCCTTAGAACCAGCATCGCCGCCTCCTCCAAACCGGAACTGTGAGAGCAAGGTGAAGGGTCACCAAGGATGGAACATGGCACCCACTCTGACCCAGCATGAAGTGGGTCTCGTGGGTCTTAAGTATGCAAAGACTCCCAATCCCAGAGCCTGTGTGCACACAGCCCTGGTCCACAGCCATAACAGCCCCTCCTGCTGGACACCTGAAACCTGGCCTGTGCCCACAAAGGACTTCGGGCCTTCATTGCTTTGCAACCTGTGTGCACACAGCCCTGGTCCACAGCCATCACAGCCCCTCCTGCTGGCCTGGGCACGTGAAACCTGGCCTGTGCCCACAAAGGACTTCGGGCCTTCATTGCTTTGCACCCTGAGGAACCACAGACCCTCACCACTGCAAAGAGTAGCCAGGGGTCAAAGAAACAGGGATAGGCCCAACCATAGTTCTGTGTTGTGTCTCCCTCAGTGTGACATGCAGTTGATATTCTTGTTCTGAGAACTTAGGATGAGAACAGGAGCAACAAATGTCATGTTCTTTAACATCTGCCTTGGGAGGTGAACCTGCCAACTTCCCAACCTCCTTCATACCAGCTGTCCCATACCAGCTGTACCTAAAGAACAGTGCTGAGGGCACAGTTCTGAGAGCACAGTGCTGGGAGCACAGTCCTGAGGGCACAGTGCTGGGAGCACAGAGCTGAGGGCACAATCCTGAGAGCACAGTGCTGGGAACAGAGTCCTGGGAGCAAAATACTGGGGGCACACTCCTGGGTACTGAGTGCTGAGGGCACACTCCTTGGAGCACAGTCCTGAGGGCACACTCCTGGGAACATAGTCCTGAGGGCACACTCCTGGGAGCACAGTGCTGGGGCACACTCCTGGGAGGACAGTGCTGGGAGCACACTCCTGGGAGCACAGTGCTGAATATAGCCCTGAGGACACAGTGCCTAGGCACAGTGAAGGAGATTAGAGGTTAGTACAATAGTTAAGAACAAGATGGCTAGGGGGCTGCTCCAGCCCTGCCTATGCCTGGTTCTAACTTCTTCACTTTCCAAAGTTTATTAGGCCTGACCTATCCAGAAGCCTCTATCCAGAGGGCACTTCTGCAAGGGCCCCAAATGTTCTCCAGAAGACAAACAGGAGTTCAGGACATTACCCCTTCCTTCATGGTTTCCTGTAACTGCAGACACCCCAATGCCAGCAGCAGTGGCTGGGTACTGGCTACCAGGACATAGATGTCCAGAAAACTTCTGGGTTTCGAACCTGAGGCCAGGTTGGCCTTCAGCTACTCTCTGAGCTCCAAGTCCCATCCTTCACTTGTCATAGACACAGAGAATATGAGCCTGAGCTTCCTTGTTATTACTTAGGGTTAAATATCAGCTCCAGTGGAAGTCAGCATCTAGAAGGTTCTAGAATAAACCACCACAGCCACAGAAGAAGATACTTAACCACAGAAATAGCTTCCAGTGAAGACCTTGCTTCTCTCCCACCCACGATCACTGGGTGATTCTTTAGGGAGCCAGGAGCCTGCCCGTTGTCACAGAGAGCCTTGCAGCAGGCTTCCCCAGGAATCCCACCCAGAGAGTGAGACCTTCCCTTCTCCTCCTGGTACCAATGACAGGCTGCGCTATGTGGACCTATAGCAGCTGCAAAGACCACCCACCCAAACTCTATTCCTGGGCCACCATGGCTCCTTGCACACCTACCCCTTCCAGGACCTACCCACTGCAACCCCTCAGCCCCAGTTAAAGGCACTCACCGGCAGCATGAGCATGGTTCCTGGGGGACCAGGCAAGCCATCAGCCCCAGGAAGACCTGGGCGACCAGGGGGACCCTACAGAGAGAGAAGAAAAGTGGTCAGAGAGACAAAAAGGGGGGGTCGATCAACAGAGAGAATGAGAGGTCAGAGAACAGGTTAGGTAAGCACAGGGCAGGACAAGACTCCATTACAGGAAATGTTCTAGAAACCCAGAAAAAGAAGTAACATGATGGGACTGTGGGGCTGGAGAGTCAGGGAGCTGAGTTAGGTGTGAGGAAATCAGAGAGGAAAGACAGGCGACTGTGTCTGGCTGGAGGCTGAAGACTGAGCATCAGTCTTGGAGAAACGTGGGGGCCAGCTCCCTTCATTCCAGACAGCTCCCGCTATCTCCACACAGAATGGGGCCTGAGAACTGCAGCCCCATGCTTTCCTGACTAGTCTTCCTTGCTCCAGTCTGCATGTGATCAGGGACTGGAGGACACCTGAGAACTGCAGCCCCATGCTTTCCTGGCTGTGACTGACTAGTCTTCCTTGCTCCAGTCTGCATGTGATCAGGGACTGGAGGACAGGATAAAGCACCTACTCATTTGGACAGAGTAAGGCGTGAACAGAAGGAACCCATGAGGGCACAAAGCTGTCTTCAGCAATTTTAAGTATGTTCAGGACATTTTTCAAGCCCTGGCTTACAGGCGCAGAGGCTGTGACAGAGATTAGGCTGCCTTACAAAGTGAACTCAGACCCCAAAACCAAACCCAGCTAGCAGAGACAACCACCCTTACAGCCCAGGACTGCCCCCAATCTTCTCTGTATCCATAGGCACCTAACTATACCATTTATCCAGAATTGCCTAAACCACCATGAACTTCCCAGCCACTGCCTTGAAGAGGCCATAGCCAGCAGAACATGCTACATGACACCCTTCCATGAGAACACACCATCATCTGCCTTTCTACCTCCTGCTTAGACACCTTACTGTGCTGAGCCAAGAATCAGCTCCAGGGACAAATCAGCTCATTTGCAATTTGGTTGTCTGGTTATTAGGGACGATATTTATTTGATGAACAGGGAAACAAGGAGAAAAGGGAGGGAGGGAGGAGGGAGGGAGGGAGGGAGGGAGGGA